TGTGTTTGCAGGGTGCTCCATCCTAAAACGAATCCATGCAGAAATGCCAGTGTCATTTTGATCTGAAGTCTAGGACGACATGAAGGCAACGAGGGGGGTGTGGAGAGGGGCTAAAAGTACTCTAGGATTTCCATCTACCTTTTCCAGGAAAAGTACCAAGGCTCCCTCTGGCCTGGCCTTCTTTCTTCTGAGGAGCTTCTCTGCCATTCAGCTCCTCCAGCAGACACCTGCTGGACGGGCACCTCCTGAGCCAGGCCCCGGGGGCTGCAGTTCCCCAGCTGCGGGTCCCAAGTCCCCATCCCTGAATGCTCAGGCCGGTGGCCACCAGAGGTCTGCAGTGGGACAGAGCTGGGACCGAGTGAGTTCGGGCACCACCGGCCTCACGACTGAGGGACCACCACCGGCTTCACACCTCTTGGAGCCTTGCCACCTGTGAAATAGGATGGGTGGTAGCAGCCAGCCCTGGGGATGGGGGCGGGAGGACGACGCAGGCACTGGTCCAGAGCAAGAGTGTGTCATTACCGGGGGTCCAGGAGAGCTACCCCAGAGGTGACTTTGTCCACACACCCAGTTCTTCCTGCCTCCAAAAGTAGGTGGGTCCTGGTGGCTGAAAGGGCCTTTGCTTGTTAAGAAGGATGACAGGCTGGGTAGGAAGGTCTGAGACCAAGGGACTGAGCTGAACCTTTCTGCCAGAAAGGAGGGAGATGCTGAGGGGGTGGGGCCAGGATGGTTTGGTGCCATTGGCAGGACAGACAGACAGACAGACAGACACACACACACACACACACACAAATTGTCTCTGCATAGATAAGCGTATGCTGGAGGGGAACCTGAAGTCTAACAGGGGATGCAGAGGTGTGTGGGGGGCGCTGGGGGTGGAAGCTCCCTCTTGCAGGGCTCCCCCCACCCTGTGGGAGGTCCATGAAAGCCCCCCTGTCCCGAATGCTCTGGTGCACTGGGCTTGTTCAGGGAGAATGAGATGCAGGAACCAGTCCTGCTCCGGGGCCTGGGCTCCAGCCGCTCGCTCGCTGTTCCCGTCCTGTGTCTTCTTCCAGGAGGGGACCCTTATTTTACCCTCACCCCTCCTGGATTCCAGGGGTGCAAGAGAGGTGGGCAGCCCAGGCCATGGAGCACCCTATGTCTTCAGCCAGATTAGCACAAGCCTGCCTTCCCGGGGCTCACGGTGTCGTGGGAATGTCAGGCCTTAGGTACGCGTGGGGCCCAGGGGAGGCCGGGCCAGGTTGCCCCACAGGGAAACCGGGAACATCCTGTACTCAGGTAGATGGGGCCAGGGTCAGGGAAAGCAAAGAATTGGGGGTGGAGGTTGAGATAGGAAGCAGCAAAGGGCCTCAGGGAGGTGAGTGTGTGTGCTGTCCGTCCCCGGAGGAGGGAGTCGAGCGTGGGGAGCCAGCAGCCAGAGGCGGCCTAGAGAGGCCTCCCCATGAAGGGCCTTCCAGCCCAGGCTACAAAGCGGGACACTTCCACCCAGGGCACCGGGCAGCAGCGGAGGGCTCTGGGCGGGCAGTGGGAGGGCAGCCCCTCTGGCTGCCGAGTGCTGGCCTGGCTGGCCGGGGGCGCAGCTGGGGGGAGAGAGACAGCCTAGACGGGCCACTCCTCAGACTCCCTGTGCTGCCGGCGGATAAAACTCGGGGGCCGAGAACTCGTGGACAAACAAGAACTCATGAGCTTTGTTAGCTTCCCTCCCGTGAAGAGCATGGTCAACAAAGCCCAGCCCCGTGAAGGTTTGGTCCTGTACTCAGGTAGCAGCCCCCAAGGTTTGGTCCCAGCAGAGATCACAGAGGCTCACGTCACACCCAGGGGGTGCTGAGACCCCGAAATATCCTCTCTGCTCCCGACTACTCTGATGTCCCGGTGAGCACGGGCCCCGCGTGAGATCTGGCTGTTGACCCGTCCGGAGAGACGTGCGGATACCACTGTTGACACATTTTAAAGATGCGCTGGACGTAGTGGTTTCAATAGAGTTGGTTTTCGTTTCCTTCGTGATCTTAGGTATTTTATTGTAAAAACACTATTTTAAGAAAGTGTCCCTGGGCTCCCAGGTGCCCAAAGGAGTCACACAGACCACGTCAAGACCCCCGAGATGGAGGGTGGGACCCCCACTCTGTCGCGCGGACAGGGGTTTCCCCGGATAATTTTTTTAAGATAATTTTTTGGTTTCCCCCAGATCTGTGTGGCCCTCTGTGGCCCCTGCACCCTCGTCACCAACCTCCTCATCCGCTGAGGTTGCCAAGGCAGAGCGGGTGCCCCATTTCCACAACTGTGATGCTCCCCGGCCTGCTTTTGGGCAGGTTTTTTGCCTGAAGCGCTATGGACTTTGACTATTTAGGGGGACTTTCATTTCAGACTTTTGGAGCACCTGCCTCGGAACGAGAAGTCTTCCGGCAGGTGGGTCACAGCACACGGATCCCCCGGGATCTGGCTGAAGTGCAGAGTCGGCGTCTGCAGGTGTGGGCTTGGCCTGAGACTCCACACCTGAGAGGCAGGGGCAGGACGATCTCCGGAGGACCTACAACAAAGACAAAAACAGTGAGACAGTTTCTCACAGCCCAGCCCTGGAGACGCATAGGAAACGCTCCATCGGAGAAGGTTCCCTGGTGATGCCGTGCACAATCAACTATTAACCAATGATGTCACTCATTCAACAGACTCCTTGACCTATGGCTGGGGACTCAGTGGGGACAGGACAGGCAGCCTCCTCGTGGGGGACAGACTAATCACAGACTCCTCTGTCTGAGCAGGTCTCCCAGGAGCTCATGAAGCTAAAGCCCCAGCGGCCTCTCTTTCGCTCAGCTCTCTTCCAGGCCATGGGGTTGCATACACATGGGTTTCTCCTCAACTGGAATGCCTGCAGAAGGTTCTGGTCCCACCACCCGTTTCCACCCCTGAAATACCAGGGACAAGTCCCTTCGAGGGAACAGGTGGAGAGACTGGAGGCAGGGGGTGGGGTGGGGTGGGAGGACGGTGGGCCACTGGCGCAGACACAGAGCCACAGGCCTACACTGGCCACAGCCAGCTCGGGGCTCGGCCTGAGCTCCCTGGTGGCGAAAGCGAGACCTCATCAGGGATGTGACCTTCATTGGAGAGAGTTTGGTTCTTGGAGGGGACACCGGTGGCCATGGCCCACATATGTGTGTGTGAAAGGTTCTGTGGGTTAGGGAGGGACCTATGGCAGCAGGTCCTTTATTCTAATTTATGGAATCCCTGGTCCTGATTTTTCAGATGTAATTTACCAATTTATAACAAGATGTTTTGATGTAGATTACCATAAATTTTTTGAACAAGGCTGGATGTAACACATAGACCTGCTCCTAGCCCAGCAGACGAGGAGCTGCTCCTTTAAGGGGGTGGGGGGGCAGCACCAGCTGAAGGAGCCCCTTGGCTTCTTCAGGACCCAGGCTCAGCACTCGCCCTCCTGGGGCTTCAGCCTCCCCATCACAGGTGAGGCCCCACTGGCTGGCATATGGGGCCTCCCTCAGCTCAGGGCAGGGAGCTCAGGGGTCCCCACAAAGGCACCGGAGTCCCCAGAGGCCTGGGATGCTCAGATCTTCACAATTGAGCCCTTCACACTAGGATGTGGGGACATAACAGAGGGCCCAGCACCCCGGTGAGGGCAGAGCCCAGACAGGTCCCTGCCATTTCTGCCCTTTGCCTGGCCCTTCTGCCTTGAGGGGATCCTGCTGGTAGTGGTCCCCCCCCTCCACTCCCCACCCGAACGTTAGCTGGTCTCAGGCTTATCCTGGCTTCCATGAAGGAGCTGGGAGCCACGGAGAGCCGTTCAGGGATCTCAGCCCCATCAACTCAGCCGAATGGCCACTCTCTTTGGTTCTCAGACCAGGGACAAGCTTCTGGCCCAATTCCCAGCCCCCAGGCCCGGTTCCCCAGAGGCTGGAGTCACTCATTCTTCTTCTCCCAGCTGCCTAGCTGCACCCTACCTGGGGCCCCCCGCCTGTTCCTGGAGCACCCTCCGAGGGCTGGGTGGCCACGGAGCTCGTTAAGTCAGTACACTCCCATCTCACAAATGACAGGACCGAGCTCCTTGTGGTTTCGCCGCCCCACCGCACGTGCGCATCGTGAACTGAAGCCTAGTAAACAGAAGCTCGTGCATGCAGGCGGCTCCTCCCGCCCAACCCCATGGGCTGGTGGTCCGTGTGATTTGGCATCAGGTGAGGCATCGGCCTTCCCTCCCTGACCACCTGACTCACAGAACTCCCCAGCCCCCTTCCGTTAGGCCTGCTCCCTGGGTACTCCCTCCCCACCTCCAACAGAAAAGTAACTCCAGGTGAAGTGAGCATTCTGAATGGGGTCAGAGGGTTGGCTTCCAACCGGGTGTAAAAAACATCCCCCACCCAGCCCAGAAGGAACCTCACATGCCCTTCTCCCCCTGCTGGCCACGCTGACCCCTGACCCTTTGAGCGAGCCCCTTCCCCGCCATGGTCCCAGCCACTCCTGAGAGGCTACTCAGCTTTCCAGCTCTTCGTTCCGGGGCCCCTGGGCCCCACTGTCAGGACAGCACAGAGAAACCAGACTAGGAGCCTGCCCGCCCTGGGAGTGGGGAGGGGAGACCCCAGCGAGGCGAGGGGCAACCTGAGGGTGAGCACTAGGGAAGGATGTCTGGGGCCTGGCGTCGCAGACACAAGCTCGGGATCAGGGCAGACAGTTTTATTCCATCCCCTTCCTGCCCGTGGCTGCCCTGGGCAGAGTGAGGACAGGCTGCAAGGAGGGCCTGGGACACGGTCATACAGGAGGTCACGCCATGGCTACCAACCCCCATTGCCCTGGGGATCGTTCCGGAGGCCTGGCTGAGCCACAGGGTTCAGTCTCCGTGGCTGTGGACGCTGGCGGGCTGGGGCAGGCTGGGGGTGGGTGGCCAGGTCTGTTTGGTGCACACAAGGCTGACCGGTGCGCCTGGTGACCCGCGTGGGGTGGTGGAGTGGCCAACACCCAGAACGGAGCAGGGCTGGGGGCTCGGGTGGTGACACTTTTTCCAACCAAGACTCAGGAACGGCGAAGCGGCCAGGGCCCACAGCCGACTGGATGCGACAGAGTAAAAAAACTCTTGCACACACGCACCCCACAGGCACACACACGGTCAGTAGAAACTCGAGGCCGTCACACGATGCTCTGCCGACCCCCGGACCCCTCAAACTCCGATGTGCCTGAGCCCCGGGCCCGGCCAAAGTCAATGAAGATCCCTTCCGAATCCGAGTCCACGGACTCCAAGATCTGGTCCACCAGGTTCTCTGGACTGGAAGAGGGTGGGGAGGGGCGGGCAGCACCTGGGCCAGGCTCAGGGGGCTGGGTGGGGGGACAGAGTCTGCTAGGGCATAGCCCCGACTGCGGGCCCGCAGACGGTCTGAAGGCCCCAGGGGGAGCCTGGCCAGGTGCGTCGGAGAAGCCCTGGGGCTCGGGACAGGATGTCATCTCCGAGACCGAGTGCCTGCGGATGCCGGGGCCGCCGGGTGCTGCTCCCTCGGCCTCGTGCTCTGCCACGGGGTTCAGCAGTGGGGTGTTGTAGCTCTTGGAGCGCACCACCGGGTTCTTGGCCAGGACATCCCCCGAGCGGGAGCGGCGCAGGAAGTGCTTCTCTGCAGAGACAGACAGACAAGGTGTCGGGCACGGGGGGATGGGGTGGGGCCAGGGGCCAGGGTGGGAGGGGGCCACTTGGCAAACCCAGGCACCTGTGTGGTCCAGGCCCTTCCTGAGGCCGGAGGCTAGCCGGCAGCCACTGTGTGCTTAGCTCCGCACAAAGGGCAGCCACGGGGAAAAGCCCGATTGGTGCCGATCCTCAGCCCAGCCCCCTCACGCCCTGCAAGTGAGGTAGAGGGCTCTGACAGTGGGTCTGCCCCTGTGTGTCTTCTTCCTTCCTTCCTCCGTCCCAGCCTCACTCTGGATGGTCAGGAGCTGGGGGAGGGGGAGGCTCAATCAGCCGCTTGGTTCAAATGCGCACGTGCCTCAGTTTCCCCACCTGTGGAAAGTTAACCCGCGGCACTTCCTGGAGTCCCAGTGCGCGTGGGGAGGACGAACCCATGTGGGTGGGCCACAGGTCAGGCAGTGGTTAAGTGTCAGGGCGGGGGCAGGATGACACAGGGTCTTTTCACGTGAGGTGGTCAGGGATGGGGTTTTATTCGGAGTGTGGCGGGTGCGGGGGGGGCGGTGCAGAAGAGGATGGCCTCAGGGGCTGATCTCAGGCTCCCACTCAGGGCCCTGCAGTTCCACAGAGTGACCACCATGTGGGAGGGCTGAGCCCGGTGAGCGGCTCAGGGGCCTTTCCAGGGCAAGAGACAGAGGCTCCCCGTCCGGCAAGTGGAGGCCTGGAGTCCAGAGACACACGGAGTCGGGCGGCGGGGGTGGGGGGGGTAGCAGGGGCTCTCCTCCAGCTGCTGGGGCCTGCCTGGTAGCTGGGCTTTACACCAGCAGGTAGGTGGGCACTCCCAAGCGGCCCTTGTGCCTCCGGGCCCCCCAGTCCAGGATGGTCTTTGTGCACCTCTTCCCAGGCCTGGTTCCTCCTCCTTCAGCTCACCTGTCACTTCCAGTCTGGCCTTCCCCCACATGGCCCTCATATCACCTGGGTATGGGTCCCCGTGGAGACTCATCTGGGGATTGTTTACTCATTGGTCTGCCTTCCCTGGCCCTGAGAGCCCACGTGGGTGGGGCCTGGTCTCTGCTGATCCCCCACGGCCAAGAACAGGGGCAGGCACACAGCAGGTGCTCGGTTTACAGAGGTGAATGAACCAATGGGCTGTCTGTTAAAGGAGCAACGTGGCGGGCTTCTGCCAGACAGGCCAGGCAGCCCCAGGACGCCCACCTCCCCTTTCCCCTCCCTGTGAGTCCCCACACAAGCTAGGTTTCTTGGACTCCGGGCCTTTGCATGTGCTGTGCCCTCTGCTGGCCAACTCCTGCCCTTCAGGACTGAACACAGATGGGACCTCACCGGGAACACAGAAGCCTCTGTGGGGCTCTCGGGGGAGTCATCACATTACCATATATGGTGTCAGCCTGACAGGTCCCCTTCACTTCTTGAAGGAGGGACCCTGGGCCCCGTGTGCCCAGGGCCCAGCACACAGCAGGGCTGGGGGATGCTCAGGACAGGTCTCATGCATGACCGAAAAGCAAATCCCCAGTGGGATCTGGTTGTGGCCATCTATTCACTGGGAGGCCTGGACCCTGGGCAGAGGTGAATGGGGCCTGAGGTTACCCAGCTCCCCGCCCAAGACCCAGTCAAGCCCTACCCAGGATGCAGGAATGTGTGAAGGGGCCCTCGCCGGAGTAGAGGCCGTAGGTGCCGAGGTAGGGCGACACCACCTTCTGGATCAGCGTCTCCAGGCGCAAGTAGTCCTTGGTCACGCCCCGGGACTCGTGCACCCCCTGCAAGAGAGGGAGGGAGGCAGGTGGTCACTAGATAGCCTGTTCCTTGCCGCCCTGGCCCAGCCAGGCTGAGCTCGACTGCCACCACTAAAGGCCTCCCCTGGGGACCCCTGCCCTCACTCCTCATCCCATGGAGTGCTACAGGCAGGAAAGGCTGCCCCCCAGGGCCAGCCAGGCCCTGTTCACCTTCTCCTCCCTGACGCCCCTCGTCCAGAGCTCTGAGGAGATCTCTACCTCTTCCGGTTCCATTAGAGCCAAAGCCTGAGGAAGGCAGCCGCCCACAGGACAGCCTTGGTCTGGCTGACAGGGGGCAAGCTCTGTGCCCCCAGTACCCCCAGCAGAGGCCTGGCACACAGTAGGCCCTTAGTGAGCACGAAGAAACAGGAAGACATTCCTCCTCGAGGGGCCGCCAGTTGCTCACAGCACGAGATATCTTAGAATGTTAGATGACAGCTCTGGACAGCGCGAGAGCCCCCGGCCACGCCGCCCACGAGAAACCCACTTCAACTGGAAAAACACACACAGACTAAAAGCAAAGGGTTGAGGGGTGCCTGGGTGGCGCAGTCAGTTAAGGGGCCGACTCCTGATTTCGGCTCAGGTCATGATCTCAGGGTTGTGGGATCGAGCCCCACCTCGGGCTCCGGGTGTACGGAGTCGGCTTAGGATTCTCTCTCTCCCTTTGCCCCTCCCTCCCTCCAATCAATCAATCAATCAATGCAAAGGGTTGAGAGAGCTATGCCATGCTGAGGCCAGTCACAGGAAAGCTGGAGCAGCTAGGTTAATTTCAAGGTTAATTTCAGACAGGGTGGACTTTAGTCATGGGGGGCCAAAGAGATCACTATGTAACAATACAGAGGTCAATTCTCTGGGAGGACGTAACAACCCCTAACATGCCTGCACCTAACAACAGAGCACCAGACCACGTGAGGCGAAACCGCTAGAAGCTTGGGAGAGATCGTTAATCCACTAGGAGATACAGACCAGCAGGCAGAAAACCGGGAAGGACACACCGCGCTTACCACTACCGTCAACCGACGGGATCTAATCGCCATCAGACTGCCTCCCCCCACGACAGCGGAACACACATTCCGCAGCTCACGGGGCACGCCTGCCAAGTCAGACCATGTTCTGGGCCACAAAACGCACCTTCACAGATTGGAAAGGATAGAAATCATACAGTGCCTGCTCTCAGGCCACAGCGGCGTGAAACCAGGAATCAGGAACAGGAAGATAACTGGGAGATCCCCAAGTATGTGGAGAGCAAACAACTCACTTCTAAATAACCCATGGATCAAAGAGGAAATCTTTTTTTTTTTTTTTTTAAGGATTTTATTTATTTACTTGACAGAAAGAGAGAGCATAAGCAGGGTGAGCAGCAGGACAGAGGGAGAGGGACAAGCAGACTCCCCGCTGAGCAGGGAGCCCGACTCGGGGCTCGATCCCAGGACCCTGAGATCATGACCTGAGCCGAAGGCAGACACTTAACCAACTGAGCCACCTAGGTGCCCCCGAAGGGAAATCTTAACAAATATCTTAAAATGTTTTGAAGAAATGAAAATGAAAACAGATCCGCACTGATGGGATGCACTGAAGCTGTGCTTTGAGGGAAACTGTAGCATCGAACGGATATATTAGTAAAGGGAAAGCCCTCAAGTCAATAACCTAAGCTTCTACCTCAGGAAACTAGAAAAAGAAGAGAGAACGAAGTCCAAAGAAAGCACAAGAGAAATAATAAGAGCAGAACTCAATGAGACTGAAACAGGAAATCCTTAGAGAAAATCGATGCAACCAAAAGCCGGCTCCTTGAAAAGCCCAATAACATCACTAAGCCTCCAGCCAGGGTGACTACTAAAGAGACGACACTAATTCCTAACGTCAGGAACGAAACCCCACATTCCCTGGAACTACCTCCACCCCCAGCAACAGCGCAACAGATGAGCAAGGTGCTTCCGCTCAGCAGGGCGTTCGTGAACTTCACGTTGTTTCATTCCCCAGACTTGTAAAGGATGTCTGTCTCTGCTCCCCACTGCACAGTGAGAGAATGGGGGCCCAGGGGCTGCATCACTGGTGAACACTCAGATGCACAGCTGCTCCCCCAGCTTCCCTGGGAGAGGAATGGTCACTCTGCCCGTGAAGCACGGGGTACACGGTAGGCCCTCGGCACATGCTAACCAGCAGCTGTGACTTCAGATCCATCTGGGACTCGAAAACAGTGGGGAGAAGCTCACTCAAAGTGCAGGCCAGGTGGGGAGTGGGGCTACAGCAAAGGGGCAGGAGGGCAAGTCTTGGGGGCAAAGGCGCCAAGTGGAGGAAGCTGCGTGAGGCAGAGAGGCCACCAGGGGGCAGCACCGCCCCAGTCTGGCCACCCACCTCAGTGCTTTCATGGGATCACAGTGGGACCTCCTTGGCTCTAAATCCCAGTCCAGCCACTGTGGGCTCCCAGAAGCACCACAGAAGGCTTTACATCATTTCTCCCCACTGTCCTTGAACCTGCCCTGCAGGCAGAAGTTTCAATCTGTCACAGAGGTGAGGAAAGAGGCTGAGAGACACAAAGTCCTTCGAGGTCCCGCTTCAACCCAGCCAGGTCTCACCTAAAATCCTTCCAAATCCCAGCAGCAGGCCCGGCACCCTGCTTGGCTGCCAGGACGACCACCAGCTCCTGCCCAGTGCAGTCCCTCGACCCTCAGACCTCCACATTCATCAGGCCCTCCCTTGCTCCGGAATATTCACTGGCTGCCCTGGGCCCTAGGACCAAACTCGCAGACCCTAATTTAGGATACCCATGTGCATGGGGGGATGCAGAACAATGAACAGGACTTTGGAGCGGTCAGACGTGGGTGAGGCCAGGCCTCGTTAGCTCTGGGCAAACGAGGGCTCACTTCCCACCTGTAAAATGGGGTGGTGACGGGATGCAGTAGTTTGCAAAAGGCCCTGTTTGCGGTAAAGGCTGTTGGTGGCCCATCAGATCCCCCACTGTCTTGGGCAGGCCACTCATCCCCAGCTTGCGGCTGTCCCCTTCCCAAAGCTGCTCTGGCCGGTGAAAGCCATCCGCACCAGAAACATCTGGAACCATTGCGGGGGGTGACCAACAGCCCCTGCCCACGAGGGACAACTCTGGGCCCCTTCACACTCCTGGGCTCCCCATGGGACGAGGCTGAGGCCCACTTCTCTTTAAATCCCATCTTCCCCCAACACCTGGGCTTGTCCTGCTTCCCTCTCTCCTTCCGGGTTTCTACTGAGAGTCTCTCCATCGACAAGTCACATGGAACCAGATCCTCGCCTCAGGCTCTGCCTCTGGGGAGGAGCCCAGCCTTGTGACCAGGGATGCTCCTGCCACAGGAGTGCGTAGCGGCCCCCTCGGGGCCCCACGCACCTGCAGCACCAGCAGCATCTGCACGATGGCAGGGGGCACACGGGCGTGGGTGCGGGCCAGCGCATCCTCCAGCTTCACGCTCAGGGTGATGGCGTTCCGGAAGTGCAGCAGGGCCAGCTGGCGCACGGACGGCTCCTTGCCCTGCAGACACAGAAGGCCACGCCCCGCGCCGCTGCCGTCACGCGAAACCCCCGCTTCCCTCCACATCAGACGATCTGGGACCAGACCCCGGCTATATGGCCTCACAGACCATCGGGCCCCCTTCCGCCCCGTCCTCCCCCTGGATGACCCCTGTCCCAAGGAGAGGCCCCAGTCAGCTTCCTCAGGCCAGGAAAGGGTTACTGTCACAAACCGAGCCCGTGTGTGCTGGGCAGGGCCTACTATGTGCTGGCCAGGGCTTTATAGGGCCTGTAGGAGGGAACTGTCCTTAGTTCCAAATTGTGGGTGGGAAAGCGGTTCTGAGAGGTCCGGGGACGTGCCTAGCCCCAGGCCAGGGGCAGCGTGCAGCAAGGCTGGGACGGGCGGTCGCCTGGGCCCCGGGGGTCCCACGGCTGCAGGGGCCGTTCACCTGCACCGGGTAGAAAATGGCCTGCAGTGTGGGCAGCACGTCACTGAAGAAAAAGTCCCACGTCTCCGCCAGTGAGTCCAGCAGCTTCTGTCCTGTGGGCACAGACAGCCATCACTGCTCACCCCCCCGCCCCAGGCCGGAGTCCTCTCTCCCGTCTGCAGGAAGACACGGGAGCTGAGGGCTGGGCTCCGGGCCCTGGAGGCACCCCCCTGACCCCAGGTTGATAGCACGCAGCACTTAGCAGCTCTGTGGTCGGGGGCCCACGGTGTAGTCTCCCTGTGCCTCAGCTTCGCCACTAATAAAACGGGACAGTGTGAGGGCCGACCTCCCAGGGCTGCGGGGCTGAAATGAGTGGAGACGGGGTCCAGGGCAGAGGACGAGCTCGTAAGCACTGGCTGCTGGTTCCCACTCCTTCATCCCACACCAGACCCGCAGAGGAACGCCCCCCCGCCCCGTGCCTGATGGCAGTTGCCGCACACGCCCGTCTCCTCCGATTCCCGTGGTGACAGCCCCCCACCACCAGCAGGCGGGGAATCTGTCCACCCCTGCAGGCGTTTGCAGAGCACCTGCACTGGGCACTGGGGACCCAGTGGAGCCTCCAAGATCCCCAGACCCATCCCAGGACAGGGAAGCAGGACCCTGAATGGCAACTATAAGCACAATCGTCGTCCCATTGAAGGGGTGACCTCAGTGGGCAGACCAAGAAACAGAGCCTCTGAGAGGGTCAGGTCCTTTTCCTCCAGGGCCCTGGTCCCTGCCACCCTGGGCCGCCTGGGGTGGGATCTGGGGAGCCAGGGAGGCCACGTCCAAGAACAGCATGTCCCAGGTAGGGAAGGGAAGCAGAAAAAGGAGAGAGGATCAGGCCGGGAGGGCTTCCTGGAGGAGGTGCTCCCCAAGCTGATTTAGGAGGCTGGGTTCGCCAGACTGATGGACAGCCTCAGTGCGGAATCCACACAAGTAGATGTGTGAAAAGCAGCCATTTGGTCAAGCTCTGGGTTATTTCTGCCAGCCCTGCAGAAGGAGCATGCCATCCTCAGGGTGGGCAGCCCCTGAGGGATGAGGACAGATGAGGTGTCCCCGAGCTGGGTCGGGGCTCCCCCAGGAAACGCAAAGTGCTGAACCTTCAGCCCTTCTGCCTGGAATGAAAGCTGCTGTGTCTGGGATAAGCAGGTCCCAGGACGTGTCGCCCAAGGCCTCTGCTGCTCGGTGGGACCCCCACCTGGAAGTCAGACTAAGGACTGGTGGAGAAAACCTGGGTGTGCTGGGGGTCTCTGGGTGAGGAGGGTGAAGTGCCACATGCTGGCCGGCGTCCCAGACTATACTGCCCGGGTGAGACTGCCTCGAGGCTTCCATAGGAACCAGGGAGCCGGACAAAGGCCTTCACCTCTTATTTCCATGGACTCTGGGCCCCACACTTTCCCTGCCCATTAAGGCCCAAGTCTGTGTAGGTTCGGGGGCTCTGGGAGGGGAGCCTGCTGGGGGCGGCCCCAGGAAGCCCATCCAGCCCAGCGGGCGGCCAGGGTGCTGTGGCCTCTGAGCGTGGCCAATCGGCCGGCACTGGGGCTCTCTGCCCGGCAGCCAGCTCCCGACCCTCCCTGGGGGCCCACACCTAGCTCTGCAGAACCCAGGATGGGTGGGTGCGCCGCCCGCGGAGCTCTGCCTGTACAAAGGTCCCTTCAGGTCCCCGCCGTCCCTGGTAAGAAGAAAGGCGGCTCAGTTCCCCGGGCTGGCCGTGGGGTGGCTCTGGGCACGGGCCAGGCAGGCGTCCGCAGGCTGCTCTCCAGCCCACGGGGCGGAAATGCTGTGGAAAGCAGATGTTGTAAAACACCGCCTCGAGGCCCCATCAGAACTGCACGCTGACCGAGAGGCCAGGAAGCACGGCCGCGCCCACCGGCCAAGTTCTCTGCTGGGGCCCCTGGTCTAGGGCTGCAGGCGAGGGGGGTGGCAGGGCTGTCGGAGGTGACAGCGTCAGGACCCCCAGGGAGTCCGGCAACCAGAGCCTCAGTGTGATCCTCCGTAAGATGGGTGTGAACATCCTCGCGCGCACTGGGCAGAAGGCTGCCACGTAGCAAGTGCTCACTAAGTGTCGGCTGGGGGCATGGCCACCGGTGCGCCCGTGTGGGCCGTGTCCATGCAGAAGCTCAGCAGAACCCAGGTTCTCCCCTGGTGGGCGGGTCCGGCTTCCTCTTTCAGTCCAAGTGCTGAGGGCCCCGGAGACCGGAGCGCACCAGACTGATCTTGGCTCGGGTCTCAGCCCCGTGATGACCACAGGGCGCTGGAAAAGGCCACAGCAGGAGCTCCGAGGAGGAGAGCTAGCCAGGAGCACGGCCTGGTGGAGTCAGGCCCATGGGCCACTGTGTGAAGGCCACCGGGGAGTTTGGCCGGATGGCCTGTAACAGCCTGGGATTCCTGCTGGACAAGAGAGGGCTGAGCCCAGGGCCTGGAGCCTGCAGGAGCCCCCGAGCTCCTCCCTGGAGTCCTTGGGTGTCTGGCCGCTGAAGAGTCATCCTGGCGGCAGCCGGAGCCCACTCCTGTAAGCCAGGCTTGGAGACCACGGAACCACAGCCTTAGGCGTGGTCCGGAGGGAGACTCCACGTCAAGGCTGTCCCTCCAGGCCTCCTGTTTCCAGGAATCGCTGTGCTTGGGAGCTGATGTCCAAGGCCTGGCTGGAGGCTGGAGGCTGGAAGGGGGACGGGCGGCAAGGTCCTGGGGCTGGCCCACATGAGGCCACCCACTACCCTCCAGCAGAGGCACAGGTGAGGATGTGGCTGGCCACAGGGAGTGGTCTCAAGGAAGAGCTGCCCTGGGAGTCAAACCGGGGCAGGAGGTGGATGGGAAGGCTCCAAAGGCCACTCCTCAGGGTGTGGCATCAGCGACTGTCCCCCTGGCATGGACTGAAGGGAGCCGAACGTCTTCCCGGACAGACCACATTCTGAGGCCTGACTCAAGGACCACTGCTTCCATGGAGTCCTCCCTGACTGCCAAGACGGAACTAACCCTTCCTTCCCCGGGGCTTCCTTTCACCCTGACGTTCATCACCCTGAATTGTCACTGTCTGGTCCACGTCGGGTGTCCCCAACTGGACTGTCAGTCCCTGCTAGGCAGGGCTGGATCTCCTCCATCTCCAGGCCCCCAGAGGCTAGCTGGGGCCTGACCCCGAGTGAGCACACGGGTGGAGCCCATCCAACCCCATGGTTCTAAGATTGGGACACTGAGGCTGAGGTCTGTGGTTGGATGGGAACTGGAGGCCAGGGCCCATGGCCCCCAGACTGGGGCTCCATGCCTGTCCCCGAGGCCTGGGGAGGCTGGACGGGGCTGGCACTTCCCACTGGGTGGCCGCTGCAGGCAGGGCTCGATTAAGCTGCACAAAGCTGCTCTTCTCTGAAGCTCCCAGCTCCCCTGGGCTGGAGCCGGTGGGAGGCAGAGGCACTGTTGGAATGTGCCGAGTAAGGAGAGGGGCGTGGGAGGGCATCTCCGCCAGGTGCCAGATCCTCACCGCCCTGACTGCTGGACTCCGTTGCCGCCTCCTCCAGGAAGTCAGCCTCGACCCCTGGCAGTCTGTGCCTCTCCCTCCCCTTGACTGTGCTTCTGGTGGCCCTTCCCAGGCTCCTGCCTCAGAGCTTCCCACCCGATAGAAGCGGGAGACACAGAAAGAGCAGGGGACACGCAGCTGAGTTCATCCAGAGCACACTAGGCCACTGGCCTCAGTGTCCTCCTCTGGGAAATGGGCTAACACCCGTTCTTTGTAGGATCAGAGGAAGGATCGAAGGAAGAACCGAAGCAGCAGTGGAACCAGGCTGCCACACAGAGTCGTGTGGCCCTGGTGCCTCAGTTTCCCTGTATGCGCAGTGGCTGCAGTGATGTCTCTTGTGCAGGGTTGCTGGGAGAGCCCTGAGTTAGGAGCCGGAGAACCCTCAGGACGGTCTAGCAGAGAGTAAGCAAGTGCCCAGGGCCTGGTGTATAGGAGACGCTCAACCAATGTTCACGGAGCCAGAACTCAGCACAGGGCCTGGCACAAAGCAGGCCTTAGCAAAGGCACTGTGGTTTGAGCTGGGCCCTCCCGTAATTTGAGCTTTCTCTCTGCCGATTCACTCCTACAAGGAGACAACACTTTGGTTGCTGCTCCCTGGCGCTGGAGCTTGTGGGCCTCCGGAAGGGCCAAGGGCGTGTGCGCTGGGGCCAGGCTGGCCCGGGCTCGAACACACCCCCACCCTCTACTCAGTGTGGCTGCAGACAAATCGCCTGCCATCATTACGCTGCTCCCAGCTACGAAATGGGCACAGGGACCTGAAGGCCTCATGGGTGGGTAGGAGCATTAAAAGAGAAAACCTGTCTAGGAGATCCAGCACCAGGCTCAGGCCCCAAACTCCTTCCAGCCAGGGGACAGCCCCTGGCTCCCACCTCCTCCTTCAGGAACATCAGGGCAACAATAGGTCCTCAAAGATCCTGTCCAGGGTTCTCCCAAGATGCTGAGATGGGGTACCCTGGCACGAGAAGGCCCCGGGAGCAGTGAGGGGAGGCAGGGCCTTTTCCCTGATTTCTCAGCCCTGTTGGGCTCCAGCAAGCTGCAGGGTGTGGGTGGGGGAGCAGATGCTCTCCCTACTAAGGTCCCTTCCTGGGGTAAGATCTTGGCCTTGCTGCCCCTGCTGCCCTCCCACCTGGAGCCCTGGGGACACAGGCAAGGCTGGGAGGGCCACACGCCCCAGCAGGGACACCGGCATGCGGCGCGTCCCCACACTCGGTCCCAGCTGCGGGGTCGCCACACTCACCCTCATAGAAGCGGATCTTGTCCCGCAGGATCACCATGCCTTTCGTCAGCAGCTGGTTCTGAAAAGCACACACAGGCAAGCCGTTACTGCTGCGGGGGTGCCTGGGCAGGCAAGGCCCCCGGGAGCCCCCCGAAGCCGGCAGCCGAGGCCCGGGGCAGGGGCTCTTACCCATGCCCCCCTCCACCCCCCAGCCTGTTCCCGGTAGAGCTTGAACCTCAGCTCGCCCTGGGAGGACAGCAACAGCCCCTCAGAGACAAGCCGAGTAGGGCAGGTGGCCGCCTTCGCAGTCCCCGATGGAGGAAGGCCTTTCAAGCAAGAGGGGCCCCCTGCCTCAAGTCCTGGCGTGTGAACCTTGACGCCCCAAGCGCGGGGGTCATGCTGTCACGCTGCCCCAGGCGTCTGGGCTGAGAATGACACCTGGTGGTCTCAGCACCGCCACCAGCAGCCAAAAGGTAGAAGCGTCCCCAGCGTCCCCCATGGGTGGACAGACACATCGGGTGTCTCTGGACAGTGGAATTTCACATGGCTGCAAAAAAGGAGCGAAGCGCGGACTGACCCAGGAATTAGCGGTGTCAGGACACTGAAGGCCCCCGAACCATGCACTTTAAACCGTGCACGTGAGTTCCCCAACCCCGACCCCGCATGAGGGGAGGCCCCTCCGCCGGCCAGGTGGGCCCTTGCTCGAAGCCCAGCCCCGCTGCTGCTCCCCACCCTTCCTTCCTGGCCGTGTGCCCCAGGTCTGTGGTTCCGTGTGTGCGTGGACTCTTCAGGCTTGCTGGCCCGAGGAGGTGTGACAAATGCAAAGTAAGACAGAGAGGGGCCTCTCAATGCTGACGCCAGGCCAACGGCGTCACCGTGTGGCTCAGGGCGCTGGGGTCGTGCAGTGATGCACACGTGGACGTCTGGGAGCCCACCCTGTATTCCAGGAGGTGAGCGGCCCTGAACAAAGCCAGCCCTGCGTCCTGCCACATGCCGGGGTACGCACAGCGCGAAACTTCACCCGCATCATTATCATTAACCTGCACAATGGCCACACTGGCTAGACGGGGAAACTGAGTCATGGTGGTGTGGCAGTCCTTGGAACCTAGCGCTCCGTGTACCCATGGAGAGTAGGTGACCCCTGTCCTTTCTGGCCAGCTCAGAAAGCAACCCCAGCCCGCTCAAGAGCACAGACCACCCACCTGCAGGTACTCGGTGAAGAAGGACCCCAGCTCTGTCTTCAGCAGCTGCCTGTGGGTGGGAGGGGACAGGACAGTGAGGGACGGCGGGGCTCAGAGACCACGCAGTGCTGACAGGGGGTCACCGGGGCAGCTGGGAGGCCGACCCGCTCAGCCCGGGGCAAAGGGTGGGCACACCCCGTCAGTCCCGTCCCAGCAGGGGGCCGGGGGCAGGGAGGGGGCGGGGTGGGCCTCGGGCCCCCGTCCTGTTCAGCTGTGGCTCTGTAGGCTCCCACCACCATTTCACACAAGCAGAAGCTGAAGGCTCCCCACAGCTTGAGTGAGGGCCACAGGCACCTGTCACGTTCTCAGGGAGACACCGGCAGTGCTGGGCCTCTAACCCTCCGCTCCCCCACCCCACCCCGAGCAGGGAGCACGGCTCCCGAGGGCGTCTTCACGGCCCTCCTGTACTCCGTCAACCCAGCAGCAGGTGCTCATTCCAGTTCCCTTCTACAAGCGAGGCAAGGAAGGCTCAGAGAGATCCAGTGACTCGTCCAAGGCCACACAGGACACAGCAAGTCAGGGTCTGAACCCCGTCCTTTGTACTCAGGTTGACAGCTCTTTGCGCCGCACACCTCTGGGGGCCGAGAGAAGGGTGGGCGTCCTGGTCCAGACCGGAAACGCTTGGGCACTGTCAACGTTCGGCCCAACACTTGACCTCCTCTCTCATCTCGGTCAGCCTTGGAGCTGTGTGCGTGTGCGCACGCGTGCGTGCGTGCACACTTGGGGAGCACTGAACTCACCACCCCCATACCCGCGAAGAGGGTGCTCTGGTCCTCAAAGGCCTTTTAAGGGTGGCTACGCTCTACCTTCCTGGTGCTGAAAGCGGGTACCCCAGGACTGGCTGTCCCCACGGGGGATGGGGGCCCGGGGGCGAAGTGAAGCAGAGAGAGGGCAGGCGGGTTGTGTGAGGTGACCAGCACCCCAGGAGCTGAGCGGCAGGCATCCCTGGAACCCGGGGCTTCGGGCAGGATCTGGGAGGTGCAGAGAAGATGGGGCAAGGACACGAAGAGGGCCACGGCCTTTCCTGAGCAGCTCTCAGGGGCCACGGCCACGCCAGGCCAGTCACAGACTTGAAGCTCACGACAGCCTGACAGGTGGTCCTGGTGGCCCTGGATGGGAGGAGTGAGGACCCGGAGGGTCAGAGCACCTTCGGCTGTCTGGTGGCGGCCCCGGGGCCCTGTCCCCAACCCCTGGCCGGCAGCTTCTTTTAGTACAGGCCCAATCCCACGTCACCACCCGACACCATCCCCGTGTAACTGTGAGGTTAACGGGGGCGACACTCACCAGGCTGAGCTCCACCTGGGACAGCGAGGGGGTGTGAAGCCAGCGGCCCCCTGTGGTCAGCCCCCTGCCACAGTCCCTCCACCTTCTCCCAATCATCTGTGCCTCCAAGGACCAAACATGACCTCAGCTCCTGTGTGACCCCATGTCCAAGCTCAGTGTCTATCTCAAGGTCACCACATGCGTGACACAAGGGGCCACTCTGGGCAAGGCCAGAGAGCAAAAGGCAAGGAGGGAGGGTCTTCTCTTAGGCCAAGGCTGAGTCTGGGTGAGTCCCCTCAGCCCGTGAGGGGCCAGAGGGTCAGCCCCAACGCCGCCAGTCCACTGTGTGACGCTGGGCAAGTCCCCTCCCCTGCCTGAGCTCCAGCACCCTCATCTGGGGCCTGAGACATGCCAGAAGGTGGAGGAGGAGGGTCTGGGGTGTCAAGTGAGACCATGGCTTACACTTGGTATATACAGCAGGTGCTCAGTAAAGCCCTCCTCACCTTCTCCCTGGCCCGTCCGTAGTCAGTGACAGTGAGTATGAACATGAATGAATGAATGAATGAAGGATTGTCTCCTTCAGGGCCTAGCAGACCCTCTGCCCCATTGCTGGCTGCCCAGGGGCTCCCCTAACCTCCTAACATTTCCTCTTAACTCACTACATGAGCCCCTGAGCAAGGGCGAGGGGCATGGCCAGCCAAGCATCCCCCAATTTGTGCTGTGCCCACCGGCTCTCCCAGCTGCCAATGAGGGGAACCATGCTCATTCCACAGACGTGGAGAATGAGACCCTGGGGGGCAAGTGGTGAGGTCCCTGTGGGGCCTGCTGGTTAGCTTACTCCCATATCCTTAGGGGAGCCTCCAGGCCAGCCTATGCACCCCGGGACACCACCTGGGGAAGGCACTGCAGGGGGAACAGCCCGGGTGTCATCTGAGGGGAGGACAGCCACAGAAAGGGGGTGGGGGGGCAGAGACCGAGGCCAGGGCCACCCTGTCCAGATGGGCCTGCTGGCTCCTGGGCGCCACAGGGCCAGTGGGACATCGGGCTGGAGCTGGGGCACGGCCAGATAATCTGCATCCCAGCCAGAGCCCAGGAGGCAGGAGAAGGGGCCTCTCAGGAGCAGAGCAGGTGGCCGAGCTCCTGCCCATAAGCTTCCAGATGATTCTCCTGGCCCCAGGCAGACACCCTGGCAGCAGCTGCAGGGTCAAGACAGGCCCGAGAACATAGAGCAGCCTGGACCACCGCGCACGGGGCAAGAGGCCTTTCACAGCTGAGCACAACCAGGGCATCCTGGGGCCTGATTCTGTTTAAGAAGGTGGGGTGCATGAGGAGTCCTTCAGGGGCAATGACATCTGAAACGTTAGGGTGAAGAGATGTCCTCTGCAACCCAGAGTGACTTAGTCTCTACCTGGGAAAACTACTATGTTAAGTGTGTCTGTTTTGGGGCCTTAGGAGAAGGTGGTCAAATGAACAGGTCAAAAGAGAGAGGCGAGACCAGCCTGGACGTCATCAAAATCAAACCTTCACGCTTCGGAGCACACTGCCGGGAACGCCAAGAGACAACCCACGGATGGCAGAGCAGCTGTGCAGATCAGAACCTGGTAAGGGTCCAGATCCAGAATATATAAAGAACTCCCGCGACTCAACAAGGAAGAGGTAAGTCATCCCATTTAAAAATGGGCCGAGGAGACATTTCCCCAAAGATGATACACAGATGGCCAATGAGCCCGTGAAAAGATGTCCCTGTCACAGTCATCAGGGGACTGCAGACCCCAACCACGAGGCGGCACTCACGCCCACAGTGCTGTCACATACAAAACCCCGAGAGTCGCAAGTGCCAGGAAGAAGCTGGCGGAACCGGCCGCTCCGACGCAGCTGGCGGGAAGGGAGGCTGGGCAGCTGCTGTGCACACCCTGGGGGCGGCCCCAGGAGAAACCACACATACACACGTCCGCACAAAGCCCTGCACTGCACGTTCAGGGCCGTATGCGTTACAGCCCCGGGGGGGGGGGTGGGCGGCCCAGACGTCTAGCAGCAGGTGAATGGATACACGGAATGTGGTTTCCCTAGCGTGGAATATTATTTGGCCACGAGAAGGAATGAAGTGCGGGCACAGGCTCCAAAGCAGATGACCCTTGAAGGTGTCACGGATGCAGCCGGACACCGAAGGCCACGGGCATGTCGGCTGATGACATGTATGAGAAACGTCCAGAAAAGGCAAGTCATACAGAGACAGACACCTGACTGGCATTTGTCAAGGGCTGGGGGAGGAGGGATGGGGAGTGACTGTTAATGCGGACGGGCTTTTATGGGGGGGGGTGGGGTGGGTGAGAATGTTCTGGAATCCAGTAGTGGTGAAGACTGCACAACTCTGTGAGTATGCCAAAAACCACCGAACCCGTATGTTTTAAGCCTGGATTATATGTCAACGTATACACATATGTATATAAAAATGGGAAAGAAAGGGTGATGGCCAGACATCAGGATCCTGTGACTACTCACCTCCCTGGACTTAGCCCTGCCTGGGCCCAGCCGAGGAGCACCCCCAACTGCCCGTCTCACCACCCGGCCCCGAGAACCGAGGGGAACATTAGGGTGACAGCGCCATCAATGGCTCCTGTCACCGGGCTCTCTCGTGGGATCAAGGCTAATCCAGTGATGGGTATCACGCATAATTAAAGTCACTCGATTTAACGTGGCCAAGTGATAGAGAAGAGGGGGCGGGGGCTGGGCAAGGGGCGGTCCCAAGGGACCCACAAGGCCTGGGGTCAGGAACCCAAGTCCCAGCTCCACTGACCAGCCCTGTGAGCACACGTAGCATGTGACCTCTGCCTCAGTTCCTTAACCTGTAAAATGGGAGCCCGAGAAAAGCAGGGCCCCCTGGGCTGGTCACACGTAGGGGACCCAGGAGAGGCAACGAGCTCCTGCTCTGTGACTTCAGCTGCCCCTTTCCCTCCCTGGGCCTCAGTTTACCTGTCTGTAAGGCCCCTCTCAGCTCTGCCACACTGGGCTGGGGAGCCCTGTAGGAAAATGATCCCTGTCCCCATCATCCTTTATTCTCATCTTGAGCTGATGAGCTAGGCTGCCTACTTTTCCCAGATACTGACACAGGGACAGGGTAGCATGGGCCAGGGCGGGAAGGGAACAGCACAGAGGTAGGAAATGCCTTCTTGAGGCAGCTGTGTGACCCCGGGCAAGTGTCTTGACCTCTCTGAGCTTCAGTCCCCTCCACTGCCAAGCAGGACTAACGGGGCTGGCCCTGCAGATTCCCTCCGAATGACAGATGGCACCCGGCTCACAGTGGCAGCTCGGAGGGGCTGGTCTGTCCTGGGCTCCCTCACCAGTGCTCACTGCTTGGCCATCCACAGGAAATGAGGGGCGTTCGGCCGGGCTGTAACTGCCTTTCCGGGAACGACACTCCCGTCATTAGGCAGGTGGGTCCTTCCTCTTTAACAGAATAATATCCTTCATGATGTTCAACACCAGCGGGGAATGTGGGCGTTACCTCGAGCCCCTGTCCAAGTCCCACCCTGCTTCCCCTGAAGAGAAAGTGCTCAGGATGGGTGGGGGTGAAGGTCCACCAGGCCCGAGAGCCACGTGACCAGGGCCCGCAGTCAAGGTCCACGCGTGGCCCTGTGGTCACTGCCCGCTGCGGCTGTAAGGGCGGCATCTCAGGTGTGGCTGGGGGAGCAGGGCCTGGCTGTACCTCCGCCCTGACACAGCCTTCCCTGCCAGTCTCGGGCCCAGGACAGGACACGTGGCCACTCACCGGACGCCCTCGTTGAGGCTGAAGAGTTCCTGGTCAGGCAGCCCCTTGCGCTGGAAGACGGCGATGACCCCGTTATGGATGCTGCAGGCGGGAGAAAGAGGAGTGTCATGGAGGCTCCGCCACCCCTCTCTGGAGCAGCCCACCTTGCTCGGCTGGAGGAACAGAAGTGGGCCTGGTCAGGGGCGCCTGGGTGGCTCCGTCGTTAAGCGTCTGCCTTTGGCTCAGGTCATGATCCCGGGGTCCTGGGATCGAGCCCCGCATCGGGCTCCCTGCTCAGGGAAGCCGGCTTCTCCCTCTCCCCAACTTGTGTTCCCTCTCTCACTGTGTTTCTGTCAAATAAATAAAATCTTAAAAAAAAGAAAAAAGAAAAGAAGGCCTGGTCAGAAGCAGGTGCCGGTCTTTTCTCTTATAAGGCAGGCCCTGGAGCGCAGGGTCGGTTGTCCTCGTGAACCCTGTCCGCACCAGAGCCTCAGCTCCCATCTTGACCCCAAGATCCTGCATCCCTAGCCCCAGCCTCCCCTAAGCCTGAGTCACCTCTCCAGGATGTCTTCTGCGGCCTGCACACACTCTGCTCCCCTTCCCTTGTTCCTGAAACCTCTTTTCCCAAGGATACCTTTGATCACCTGTCGCACCCTGTAACATATCCCAACCCGACACCCAGCAGGGGCTTCCAGGTGCCCCTGAGCCAGCCCCTCCTGACTCCTGGTGTCCCTGAGCACTGAACACTTGTGTTATGGGCTCCACTGGGTAAGTGGCCTCCAGCCACAGGGTTTTGCATGTGCCCTTTCTGCTGGTTGGGCCTCTCCTACTTCCACTATCTGCTCCCTTTAGATCACATGTTGTTGCCAGCTTTTACAGACTGGTCACTGTGTAACCACATATTTCTGTGTGATTTGATTAAATTGTTTCTATCACTGTCTATGAACCTCAAGAGCATAGAGCCCCGGGCAAAATTCATCCTTGACTCTCCCTCACCCTCCAAAGCCAAAGTTCCTGAAGTCAGATCCATTTCTACCTCCTGGAGCTCCGCTGCACCCCTCCCCTCCCTTCTAGCCAGGGCCCCTCCTTGTATGCCTGGACCTGATTACACCAGCCCCCCGTCACTTCCCCGACCAGGGTCTTGTGAGGCATCCACTGCCCTGCAGATACAGCCCAAGGCCTGGACATGGCATTCGAGGCTTGTCAGGAATGGCCCCTCCCTGCATGCCGGGGCATCCTACACTCGAGTCTCGGAGTTGCTGGACGGGCCAGAGGCTACCACACCTCTGGGTCTCTGCACCCACTGCTCCTTCTGCCGGCCCGGACCTTCCCTTCCCTGAATACGAGGTAAGCATACTGAAGACTGAGCTCAGAAGCCACTTCCCTCCAAGAAGCCCTCCTGACCCCCTCCCTTCCCCAGGAAGACTCCTATCCTGGCACTTTGCTGATTTACCTTCCTAGTAGCACCCCACCCTCGCTCAGCCACACACTCCTGAGGGCGAGAACCGGGTCTGGGTGGCTCCACCGCCCTCCGTCTAGGCCCTGGTCACTGCTCTAAAGCTCACAGACCTGCTGCCGTGATTCTCAGCGTGGAGGGGACAGCTGGACACACGCTGCCGTTCACATCGCAGACCAGGTAGCAGCCACCAAACTCCTGGTGCCCTTGTCCGTTGGCATTAGCTCCATGCTTCCCAGGAATGCTGACTGGCCCCCCACTTCGCAGATGGGGACACAGAGGCTCACGGAAGCCACGTCCCCCTGGGAGGGCACAGAGCTCCTCACCCAACAGCTGCCCCCTGTCCCCATGCAGCCGGGTCTGGGCAGGGCTTGCGCAGGGCCCTGCGCCCCCCGGGGGCGTGAGCCGTGCGGGGCCACATCCAAGGTCCACGGCTGGTCCCCCCCAGGACCGAGGCCGAGACCAGCTCCACCGGGAATTACCAGCCTCTCAACAAGTGCTGGCTGAGACCGCGTGGGACACCGGTCACTTGACCTGGGGCGCCCGACCGCTCCGGGCCTGGCATCAGAATGCCACTGGCTTGCGTGTCCAAGACACACGTCCTCCAACTTGTTTCCCCCAACCCTGGGCTGCTGTGAGGATGAAATGCCTGGCCAGAGCCTCGCTCACCCCCGTTGGAAGTCCCTGGTGGACCCAGCCCCACCACTGTGTCCCCGGAAGGCTGCTCCCCATCTACAGCTAGAAGAGAGAAAAATCGGCCAGGAAGCCCAACGGTCGCTGGGAACCCAGTGGTCCTCCAGTGCTGCCACGCTGGAATCCGCTCCCGGCCCAGTGGGGGCTGCTGGGGGGCCGGAGGCGCACGGCAGTCCTGGGCACTAACCTGGGACCCGGGGGCCCAGCTGCTCCTGAGGCACAGAGAGGACCAAGGACCCCGAGGCGGGGAGGAAGCCAGCGCAGGCCGAGCCCGGGGCAGCCTCTTGTGCTTGTCACACACACCTGCTCCTAGCAGCCTCTCCCTGGCCTTCCTCCTCTTCCCGTCAGCCTTCTGGAGGGACCCCAGCCCAGAGGTGACCCTGCACGCAGTGGCTTTGGACGGTGAGGCCGGCTCTCTGAATGCTGTCCCTCCCCTGTAGGCTCGCCCTCCACCTGCCCCGTGGACCTCAAACCCTCCTCCAATCCCCCCAGGTCGGGTCCCTCCTCCCTCACACTGGTGTTGTGGAAAAAAAATTGACCTCAGTGGTCTTTTAGGGGAGAGGAGGTCTATCTGCTTGACTCTTCTGCCCCCGTCCCTGACCCCCAGGCTCAGGCTGGTGCTGCACCCAGCGCATCAGCTAGTGAGGGAGTTTATCACCCCCACTTTGAGTCTCTCAACACCTGTATCTGAGCAGCCCCCAGCACAGCCCAGGGGGTCACCCTGAGACCCGCCGTCCCCTCTCCGCCCACTGTGAACGCTGGCCACCTGTGCTGCGGCTTCCCCATCCACACCATGGATTCGGAACTCCAGCGCCCAAAGGAGACTGTGCCCGGGCAGTGGCGTGCCCCGCGGGGGACACTTGCTGGGGCACCTTCGGCAGTGACTCTGAGGACAGGTGTGTCCCCAGAAGCTCCCACCACAGCTCAACCATCCGCTCTGTGGTTTTCTCAGTCTGTCTCTTCTACCCACCACACGGGGGGCCTGTCACACCCCAGGCTATGGAAGGAAACGAGGAGGGTCTGGGGAGCCAAGGGACCGCCCAGAGTCACACGAGCGTGACACCCAGCAGAGCCAGCGAGCCCGGCCCCCGGGCCTCCTACCCCAGTGCGCCGGCTCGGAAACTGCCTCCCGCGCTGCCCCAAGCCGGACGGGCCCTCCTCCTTCCATTCCTCTGCAGCTAGGGGCTGAGGTTCCCTTTCTAGCCCAAGTCCAAGTTGGGCAAACAAAAAAAAAACCTTGCTGCGAGCCACTTGGGGAGAGGAAGGGTGGGGAACAAGAAGCCCTCATGTGACTTATCTTCCCTCCAAAATAGAAGTGAAACCCCAGCCACCCCGGTCTGTGGCCTCCTGACCAGAGGTGGGCAGGCCCAGTGCGGGCACTGGCAGATGCTCCTGTGCAAACCACAGGCAGCCTCCAAGGGCACTTCCGGGTGAGACCCATGGCCTCTCCCCACTGGGCAGTCCTTTGTGGAGCCTGTCCCCCTCCCCAGTGCAGGACAGGAGGGCAGGGCCGAGTCCCAGCATCTCTTGCCTGGGCCCTGGGTGGGCCTGGGGTGAAGGGGCAGAAGGTGCTAGAGCCCTGGTGAGGCTCCAGGGTGCCCCTGGAGAGTGCATGGCCCAGGAAGGGGGTGGGGCAGAGCCAAACTGGGAGAGGGAGGGCTGATTGTAGGGCTCCTGGGGCCACCTGCCTGTGGCCACCCTGGTTTGGGCTGGAGCCCATGTGGGGCTGCGGGCTGAAGGGGACCCCATGTGAGGGCCTCTCAGTGCCCCCACCTGCCCATACGGGAAGCCCCAGCAGAGAGCGAATGGCCGGCCTCTGGTCGGTTAGCTGATACACCTCCGAGGACCCCTGGAGAGAGTAAGGCCCCTGGCAGGGACCTGGAGACAGAGCCCTGCCTTTCTCTGGTGCCTCGATGTGGACATGGCCTCCAGAGGCCTCGGAGGACACCAGGTGACCCCAGAAGGCCGATCCAGACCCTGAGCAGGGTGGGCACCTCCTTGGGCCCCTCCCACTGGTGTCCCGGCCTGCAGTCCGTGGCAAGGGATGGTCAAGTGAACAAGGAAGGGCAGAGGAGCTGGGCTCCACTGGGTCCCGCACGGGCCCCCCCGGCTCCTCCTCCTGCTGGCTGCCACCCCACTGACAGCCAAGGCTCTAGTCCTCCCTCTCCCGTCTATCCAAGGGTGACTGAATGGAGCCCCAGTGTCCTCCTTGGTACCTGGGGGTCATGCCGAGCCCCGAGAGATTAAGGGGGGGGCCACCTGGCTCTGCGCAAGCTGCCCCGGGAGCAGGGCCCACTGGCTTCCACTTCACATCCAGGTGAAAGGTACAGGAGGTAGGCAACCTGGAAGCCAACCGTGCCCCCAGGCCAGGCCCCGACGTGACCCTCTGGTAAATGGGGTGACAATGTCATTTCCAGCCGTGTCCGCTTCACCCGCTCCTCAGCAAACAGGTCCCACTCACACCCTGGTTTCAGTCCACCTGGCTTCAGATGCTAGCCCCCAGCCCTAACAGGGTTCCTGGCTGAGCAGGAGGGGCCCGTGCCCACCTGCACTCCTCCCTGGGCACCTGGCAAGGCCCTGACCCGCCGGACTGAGGAGGGCACAGTGGAGTGCCCATGTCCTTCAATGGCTCCCCATTTCCCAGCTGTGAGGCAGGTTCTGGAGCCAGGATGGGGAGGGCTGCACACGGCCCTGAGCCCAGGCTAGGGTGTGAGAAGTGCTGGCCCAGAGCGCTCGGTGGTGCGGGGGGAGGGAGGTGTACTGGCGTCACAAACGCCACAAACATGGTGGCTTAAAACAACCCCGATGTGTTTGCCGATGGGCTCGGCATGACCCCCAGGTACCAAGGAGGACACTGGGGCTCCATTCAGTCACCCTTGGATAGACGGGAGAGGGAGGACTAGAGCCACACTCCACCCTGCTTGGGGCCTCCCCTCCCATACCTAGAAGGTGGGGTGGGCGCCGGGCTCTCTAAACCCCAAGCATTTGGGCCGGTTCTGGCCCGCAAAGAACGAGAGTTAACACTAACTCCGTAGCGATTAACACCCTCTGGCCCAAACACATGCCCAGGGGACCTGTGTTAGGCAGGCCTTTAGGGCCTTTAGGGCTGAGGTTTGGGGAGCTCCCTCTCGCCCCTCAGCTCAAGAGCATGACCTTCATGGAACTAGAGGCCCCACCCCTCCAGACCCTGTGAGGAGCTAACTGGGGCGGCCCAGGAGGAATGCCTGGACAGAGCGGGACACCACCTGCCATGCCCAGGCCCTTGAGGGAGGAGAGGAGGGGGGGACTCCGGGTGGGAGCAGCAGGTCAGCCTCCCGAGGCCCCGGCCTGTCTGGGGCCCTGCACTCGGCTTGGCTCAGGGCACAAACCCGCCCAGCAGAGAAGTACGGGCCGAGGAAACAACCTGCCAGTGGGGCCTGGCACCCTCCACTCACTCAAACATTTCCTGCACACCCAGGAACCGACATTCCGGAGGAAAGAAGGAGGCGCAGCTAGTCAGCACTCACCCATCTCCCAGCGTATCTTTTTCCGGGCACTAAACTCGACCTGCAGTGACCTCATTCCTTTACTTAAGTCCCTGTTTACCTCCTGACTCCTTCCCCCAAAGCCGGGCTCAGGAGGCTGTTCTTTCTCTGCTGACTCTTGGCCCCGGGAGCCGCCCAGTGCCAGGGAGCGAAGGAATGAATGAGCAAACGAACTGAACGATGACCGTCTAAGTGAACGCACGGATCCCGTTCTCATGAGAGCAAGCTCTGGGGAGGAAAAAGAGGCACAGGAAATTTAGGGGATGTGCCCAGGGTCACTGTGGTGGGCTGAATAGAGTCCCCTAGAAATTCGTGTCTACTTTGGAAACAGGGTCTTTGCAGATGTAGTCAGTGAAGGATCTTGAGACAAAAATCATTCTGGATGAGGGTGACCCTAGAGCCAATGACCGGTGTCCTTGTAAGGGAAAGGAGAGGGAGTTTCGGTAACAGCGGCCCAGGAGAGACCACGTGAAGACAGAGGCAGACAGCCACAAGCCAAGAAACCACTTGAAGCTGGAGGAGGCGAAGGATACCCCCCTAGAGTCTTCGGAAGGAGCACAGTCCTGCCAGCACCTTCGTTTTGGACTTCTGGCCTCTGAAACCACAGGAGGATACATCTCTGTTGTTCAGAGCCACCCAGCTCATGGCAATTTGTCACAGAAGCCCTATGAGACTACTATGGTTGCACAGACAAAAGGCCGTGGACTCCAAACGAGTGAAGAGCTCAGCAAGGCAGGCCCTGGAGACAGACACAGCTGTCCTGCATGAGGGCTGTTGTCCTGGGGGCCCTGCAGGGAGCCCTGCAAGAAGGGGTGGGCAGGCAGAGACCAGAGCAGACCCCAGCCCTGCACTGCTCCCACTCAGGGACGGGCAGAGGAAGGCACTTTGCCTCTCCTTGGCTCGGCATCCCCTCTGCCTGGGGAGGAAAGGGGCTCAGGCCCTGCCCTGTCCTACATGGGTGACAGTGACATGGGCAGGTCTGCTGGGTGCTCTGTGTCCCCATCTGCACCTCCAAAGGGGGGATTAGAGAAATAACTCCCTCGCTGGGCAAAGTGAACCAAGGGACATGAAGGTGTCGGGCGAACAGGATGGCAGATGGGAGCGGCCAGGTGCCCAAGGGATGGAAGACTCAAGCTGGGGGAGAGGAAACGTGTTCTTCTGAGGCCTGACAGGTGCTGCAGTTCTAAATTCCATTAAGTGAAAAGCAGTGGAGGGACTCAGGCAGCCTCTCTCAGCAGGCACCTCCCTGAGCTCCGCAAGACTCAGAGCTGGCCCCAGGGTCACACGGGCAGGTGGCTGTCTAAGCCAGTGCCTTCCCCTCTGTCTGGACACCCCCCAGCAGGAGACCCCGGTTGGGGAAGAGGGGCTCACAAAGCTGCTGTTGGTGAAAGCTCAGGAACCAGCAGACTCCTGAGGGCCCCTCCAACCGCATCCCTACAGGCCCACCCCAGCATGAGTTTGGGCTTGAGTTCCACACTACCTACCATGTGCTGGGCACTGCACAGAGGGCTTGAATATGTATGTTTGCACTTAATCCCTACAACCGCCCTGTGAGGTGGACACCCTTATGAGCCCATTTTATGGCTATGGAAATTAAGGCCCAGAGAGGCTGAGTGACTTGCTCAAGACCACACAGCAGGGAAGAGGCAGACCTGGGAATTGAACTAAATCTATTTGGCTCCTACCACTAAACCAGAAAATGGGGGGGGGGGGCGGTGCTCGGCATCTATCTACTGAACTCTGAGACGAGAAATCAACTCTTAGGACATTGTGCAGTCAGTGGGTCACTGAGATTCCCCAGTGAGAGTCCTTCCTTTACTGTCTCCACATCAGCCTGGTAAGGAGGAATGCACACGCCCGCTGACAGGGAAACTGAGGCAAACCTAGCCCCAGGCAGTCTGCAACTTGGTAGGGGACAGAAGCCAAGCATGTGGATGATGGGGGTCCTGCCTAGTGCACAGACAAGGGTCTCAGGCTGGTGGCCCTGTGCCCATAGGATGCTCAGCGAAGTCTCCATGAACAGAATCAATGTGTGGCCACACTGACAGCCGGGTTCCTGGGGGCTAGGACCACAGCCAGCGGAGCATCTGGCAACACTTCTCTGCCGGGTGCGTGGGGTGAAGGGGAACGGCATCCACAGCCCCCCTGAACAGGCTCTCACTCTCTTCCCCTCCCCTCCCTTTTCCCTTTGGTGTAAATGTCTACTTTGAAAAGGGATCAGGAGCAGACACGCTGGGGAATCCCACTACATAAACCATCTCTTTTCCGATCCCGGCCTTGCTCTTCAAACAAAGCTTGTGGGTGGGGTGACTTCCCACGCCCCTGCTAGTTTGGGAAAGGCCCCCAGGGGGAGGGTCGTCTCAGGAATGCCAGGCAGCTGCTGCACCCCTGCTGACAGCTGGGAGGACAGGGGCCGCTCAGGGGAAACTACCCGCCCACCCCCCTCCGACCAAAGGGACCTTTACTCTGAGACAGGAAGCGCAGCGGCCACCCACCGACAGCGCCCTTGAGGCTCAACTGCGAAATGGGAAAAATACTTCCTGCTCTATTTACCTCCCAGATTGCCATGAGCACCGGGGCGCAGACGTGGGAAGACCCCCGGGTGGGAGGCAAGCACGCAGGCTCCAGGCCCACCCCGTCGCCCACCAGCTGGGCGCTCCGGGACGATCCCCGAGTCCGCGGTCTCGTCCCTCCCTTCTAGAAACACGTTGCACTGAACTTCCCTCTCCGCCCGCACAACTCCGGCGGAGCAAGTTCTTTGCGAACTGTGAAGTGCCGCGGCGCTCAGGCCTCCGTTCCTTGCCCGCGGGCCCGACGGAAGGCTCCCTCTCCCCCGCCAGGAGGGCGCGGCCTTACCTGTTCCAGGTGGCGTTGGCGCAGGCCCGGCGCTGCTGCGTGCCCCGCTCGTCCGCGCCGGCGGCAGCCGGCTCTCTCTTGCCCAGGTCACTGAGGCTGGGTGAACTCATGAACTTCAACCTGCGGAGAGTCCTCATGGTGACCCCGGCGGCCCGCTCCGCGCCCACGCGCGCCCGGCGCCGCGCCCTACGCCACGCTCCGCCGTGGGCCCCGGCCGGCACTGAGCCCTCTACGAGGAAACTTGGGCGAGAGCAGGAAGCTGAGAGGCCCTCCGGGGTCCCGCCCCGGTCCCGCGCCTCCGCCCCGGGCCCCGCGCCGGCTGGCCCGCCGGGTTAATCATTGCTCCGAACGGCCGCAGCGAGGAGCGCGGCCGGCAGCGCGGACCCGGCGCAAACGGAGGCGGGGGCGGGGCCGCGCCGGAGGGGGCGGGGCCCGAGCCGGGGGCGGAACAGGGGCGGCCCCGGGGGCGGACCTATGCACGGTTGAGGCGGGGCCTCAGGCAAAGGGGCGGGCTCGGGGGAGGCGGGACCACGAGCGGGGGCGCGGTCTGCTCTTCCTTGGCTGCGACTGCCCCAAAGCCCCCTCGGTGTGCCCTTCCGGGTCGCGCTTGGACCCCCTTGGGTCTTCCGAGGGCCACCTATGCCCACAAGAAACCAACACTCATGGGACGCACAACCCAATCCCAAGCGTCCCCCCTGAGGCGGCCACTGGGGCCACCCGCACGAAGCTCAGTGACTCCTTTCCATCCCTCATCCCTTTGCCAATGCTTCACCCAAAGTCACCCCCCTCCTTGCCATCCCCACAAAGGCTGTGCCCACACAGATCCCTCAAGACTCTGCCAGGTGGACACAGACTCCTCCCAGGTTCTCATGAAGACCTGGTGGAGACCTCCAGCCCCCTTGGGGCACTGGCCTGGGATCCCACCCCACCTAAGCCCAGCCTGAGCATGCCTAACCGCCCTCCTCTGGCGTGGAGGGGTTGACAGACTGGGGGCTGGGGGAATCATCAGTGGCCTCTCCACCTCAGAAACCAGCAGAGCTGGTGCTCCACCCACCCTCCGGGTATCAGTGATGGTAAAAACAAGTGGGTCCCCTAAGACTCTGTGGCTGTGGAGAGTAACCCCAGTGAAGGGAGGGCGCAGCCTTGGTGCTCTCCACGCTTTACACAGCACTTTTAGACGCTTGGTCTCAGGCCAATCTCCCTCTAAGAGGTAGGAATTCTTTTATTAATTAATTAATTTACTTATTTATTTATTTTTGAGTATAGTTGATACAGAGGTAGGAATGCTTCTTCCCATTTCTCAGTTGAGGAGATGAGGCCTAGAAAGTGAAATAACCTGCCCAACGTCGTACAATCTGCAAATGGCAAAGCTGGGCCAACCCAGGCCTCCTAAGCACACAGCACAGGCACGCACAACAGCTCCCCCCGGGCCCTGACCCCCCTCCCAAATCAGACAGGGCACCACAGCATCACTGCCCTCATCCTACCTCCTGGGCATTTCCTGGGGCCATGCCTGTGCTGAGCAAGTTCTGGTGGCACCACAACCCCTGCCCCCTGTCTTCCCATAGACACTTCCCTTGTAAATCAGTGGGGAGAAACGAGGGGTTGATCCTAGACTCTCAGCAGGTGATGGCTGCTCAGAGCCTCCCCCTCCCCCATGTTGTACAGAACAGGGAACTGAGGCCCAGAGGCCACTGGGTCCTTTATGCCAGGGTGTGTGCATCTCCTGCTTCCTCTCAATGGCAGAACCAAAGCACCCACCCCCTGAGAAAGCGATTCCTTCCATGCCATGGATGGGGGCTAGCTAATTCAGTCTGATGCAGTGTAGAGACAGGAATCAGTCTGAAGGAGGCAGTGGCTCAGCCCCCAAAGCGGGGCTCTATCTGCCCAATGTCCCAGGTGGGATGGTTTGCCAAGATCAGGCCAAGTAGCAGATGAGCTTCTTGTGTGGCTTTGAGGGCCAAGAAAGCCCCATATAAAATGTACAAGAACCTCACAGGGATACGCGGCCCAGTTAAAGTCAATCCGCCTTTCCTGAGCACCTGTTATGTGCCGGCATTACCCTCACCCTAGGGAGGCAGAGTCATGACCATCAGACTCCCTGGCCCTGAGCGCAAAATCGACGGAGCAGAGACCAGAGACCGTGGAATCCCGCAGAGCGCATCATCCCCAAGGCTGAGACCTGCACGACCTGGTGTGAGCTGACAGGCCCGGAAGGACTGAGCTGGCCCCTTCCTCGCCCCTGGCGGTTTCTCACCCCTTTAGAAACACCTGGGGAGCCTGTATGCTCCCTCTACCTCCACCACCACCTGCCCAGGCCGGGAACCAGACACCTCCCTCCGTGCCAGTCATCTCCCCCTTCTCCGGCTGCCTTCACCCCGGGGTTAGGCTCCGGGGTTGCCCTCTGGTCATCTGGTGACTCTTCCATCCTAGTGCCATGAGCCAGGAGGGCAGGGACTGTTAAACTGGCTCAGTACTCTATTCCCAAGCCCACTGCACAGTAGGCACGCAGTGCAGATCGAGGCGAACGGATGGATAAACATCTGTCCACAGGAGTGGAGGGACTACGTCAGACCATAGGAGTGCAAATGCTTTGTGGAAGGTGCCCCACTGCACCGAGACAGAGTGGTGGTAGTTACCAGTGGTGTAAACGGGGCGGAGCAGAGCCATGGGGGTGGGCCCTGGGTGGGATGGGATGCATGGTGGTTTCCCGAGCCAGGGGAGAGGCCTGGCTTTGCTTGCTCGGCACAGTCAGGTGGGTGGCGCTTAGCACGGGCTCTGGTGCCGGCGGGCAGGCTGGCAGGAGCGGCCAGCTCAGTGTGGGAGGGAGGTGGGCCCCTCCGGATGAGAAGTTAAAGGGAAAATGGGTGGCAGGTGGGTGAGGGCAGCCCAGAGGGGGAGGTGGGAGGAAGGGAGAAGAGGAAGCGCTCTGGGAGCAGTGGAAAGGGGGCTCTGGGAGCGGTGGAGACCAGGGTTCTGGGAGATGCGGCCAGCAAGAAATTCCAGAGGTAGGGATGGCTGAGGGACTTCAAGGCTGTCTGCAGTCTGTGTTAAGGAATTTGCTGTAACTGCCCCCTAGCCCTGGCTAAGGATGTCTGTAAAATCTGTCTACACCCGATAGCCCAGAGCCAGGGTACAGTGGGGACTCAGGTGAAGGTGCTGCTGCCCTGTGTTTGGGCAGGTGACAGGCAGTGAGGGGTACAGGGATATGGGGGTGGGGCTCAACAGCCCAGGGGAGCAGCCAACTCCCAGGAGGAGACAAGGCCGTCCCGACCCCCCAGGACCGGGGACAACGGGGCGGCCACAAACCAAGTTAAGCCCCTAAATGTGTTCTGCACAGCCTGCAGTGTGGGGGAAAAAACAAAAAACAAGAACTGTACGCAGCCAAGGTTTTACAGTGGAGAGATTGACATAGAAACCCTGATTTCTGGCTTCCTGGGAAGCATCAGATGACCAGGCCTCCCGGGCCTGAGGCCCCACGTGACGGCCGTCGCTGAGCTGCTGCTCCCACAGGCAGGCAGAGGGGCTCTGGGCGCCCACCAGGCCCTCCACTCATTTATGGGGCCTTCCAGGCCTGATGAGGGGTTGGGGACTGAGCGACTGTATTGCAACGGTGGCCCTGGGCAGGGCCCATCCTTGCCGAGACTCAGGGGAGGGAAATGCCCTCTGTCGAAGGGATTGGGAGACTGGGGTCCCAAACCCCCAAACTGCCAGAGTAACCTTGCTCTGGATCCATGCCAGGCCAGATGGCTCCAACCATGCCCTTTCCTCCCCCAGGACCGAAGCTTTAGTTCCCCCCTCCCACCCACCAGTGGGGTGTCGGGAGTTGGTACAGGGCCCTGGTCACCAAGAGGGACCCCAGGACTTGTCCTTCTGCTGGGAGAGAGAGCCCTAGATTGAGCAGCCGGAGCTGGGGTCCATCAGCCCTGCCACCAAGTCTGGTGATTCCTAGGGCCTCAGTCTGCCTGCCTATAACACAAATGGGATTGAGGGTTAGGAGCCCTGCCTGTCACCGCTCCCCTGCCCCAAGTGTCCATGGGTGAGTTTGAAGGACAGGGGAAAATGAGAACCATAAAGCCCTTTGGGGGCCACGTGCTCCCCACAGACGTAGCCAGAGATGGCGAGTCAGGTGTCTCTGATACTTGCAGTATGGCTGTGCCGAGGGGCTGGCCCAGAGGTTCTGTCTTCGACCAACGGTGACCTGTGGGACGGGCCTGGCCCCTGTCCACGGGCTCATGGCATTGAGACTTTGCACCAGAAAGCGCCCTGGGGTTTGTTCAAAATGCCCCGTCCAGCTGCTGCTGGGAACCTCAGTCGGGATCTGTGGGGGCAGGGCCTGGGGCTCACTGACGAGCACCTCGTCAGTGGTGGACTGACGAGGGGACTCTCATGGTCCCCCGGGGTCTGCAAAGCCCTGAGCCTGGCTCAGCCCCTCACTTCCTGGACGGACAGCTCTGCACCCCAGGCCTCCAGACTTCGAGTCACCAGGGAGAGTTCTGGAGCTCCAGGACGCCGGCCTGTGTCTGTGTGCCTCCAAAGCGGGGAGTCAGCCACCCCGACGCGGGTCCGTGAGGGGGCCCAGGGAGCGGCAGGGCAGCAGGGCATGGGTGCGGACACCAGAGCTGTACTGGGTCCTCCAGGTCATCTAGGCTCGGGGAGGGGCGAGGCCCATGCCCAAAGTCCCAGTCAGCAAGTGGCAGAGCGGAAGCTGGAGCCAGGCCAGCTTGGGGGGCAAGGGGGTGGACGGCCACCATCTCTGTCACTGTCACTGGCGCTGTCCTCAGCCGGCCCGCGTCTTGCCCACTTCCAGGCACTGCCCGCAATGAGGGGGCAGCTTTGCCCCCTGGTGGCGAAGCCTGGTGCTCCCCTGAAGCCGTCTGGGAAAGTGCCTCTTGCACCCTGGGGTCTTGGACACTCAGGGTGCGGCTTAGCAATGTGCCGGGCACAGGGAGCCGTGGCCATGGGAGGAGTGTCCAGCTCACTCCTCCCTTCTCTGGGGTGGACAGGGGTGGCGACGTGCCTGCCCCGCGAGAGGGTGAGGTGGGACGAGACAATTCACGTCACCATGGGCTGTGTGCCAGGGGCCTGTAACTGGTGCCTGTGAGGGCCGCGTGGCAGAATGAGATTCCCAAGTCGGAGCTGTGATGCTGGGTGACTCCAGCACTGCCCGTGATTCGGTTGGTCATCTCTGAAGGCCTTGCAATGCACTGTTCTCAGTGACCGTCCTGAGGCTGGACAGCTGCTCGTCGTCCCAGGATGGATGGGCATCAAAAGTGACACCTGTCCTCTTCCATGAGTGGGGGACCTCACAGAGACTCCCGCTTGCTAAGCCTGGGGTGGGTGGGTCCTGCTCTCAAGCTGCTCTGGAGGAAATGTCCCTCTGGTGGCCTTAGAGCCAGGCTC